TTCTCAGGCAAACATGCGATAGCCTTTTTCGTTTTAAACTCATTTCGACCCACTCCTTTCAACACTTATGGGACTCCTTATTCCTCTCCGGGAAGGGGTCTCTTCGTAAGAACGGTAGGGGGGCATATTATTGTTCCCGGTCAGGACCTGAAGGGCAATTCCGTTCTACTGCGGGGTATCTTTCGGCTACCATTCTGGCGACGAGGGGCGGGATCCCCTGATCGATTCGGAGGCCCTTAGAGAGATACATTTCATCACATTGGTCCCTTCCTGACGCTGAAAGCCTTCTGACCCGCACCGTTGGCCCCGGATTGACGCAGATGACCGCATTGACGCAACAACATCCCTGGTCGCTGCAGGTGGTTCGATAATTGGCGCACAGACTCCAGTTCGGCTTAACGGGCCTATGGGCTGGAGGCCCGCCGTTCGGTACTGGGTCCCTGACTGACACAGGACGCTTCCATGTCTCAGTATGGACATTTATCATAAGTTATGATGTCTCCTTTCATTGTCAGTGGGTCGCGACCAACGTAAGAGGTCCTCTGGCATTTGGGTGCCCGTCCCCGTATTGAGCAAATCTTCTTCTGACCGACTCGAGGGCCCTTGTTGACACAGAACACCCTGTTAGGCACTGGGCTCTTGACCGATACACAGGCCCTGCATTGTTGCAGGGGCCCCGACCAATGCAAATCGCGGGCCCTGTTTCCCTGCTTAGGAAACTGGGCCCAAGAGTTTTGAACTGTTCAGGAGCCGACCTGTTGGTGTTGGTGATCTCTGGCCAAAATGGAGGAACGTTCCATCGCAGCGGTCCCCAATCTGTACAAGAGGCCCTCTAACTGACATTTGAGATCACAGCGTCACCTGGCGGGGGCCTTTTGACCGTCCTTTCGTCCTTCCGTCTTGTATGTAACATACAGCCGGCCCTTCGGACACCCCTCCCCCAGCCTTCTAATCGGGTGTTTGATCTTTGGTGTCGAGAGACCTTCGGCCCCTCTCCGGACCTCTTCAAACCTGTGACCGACTTGGGGCCACTAGCCGACACATGAACCTCTTTTTAAGCCTGCGGGCTGGTTACCGACACCACGGGTGTCGGTAAGGCTTCAGAAGCCTGTATCAAGCCAAATCGTGGCCCCGGGCTTGTTCCTGCTTGGGGAATGGGACCCGGGGTTTAGACTGACAGCTGTCGCTGACTGCTGGTGTCGATGACTCTCGGTGTTCTGACTCGCTGACTGCTGGTGTCGCTGACTTCGGTGTTCTGACTCGTTGACTGCTGGTGTCGCTGACCCTCGGTGTTCTGACTCGCTGAGTGCTGGTGTCGCTGACTCTCGGTGTTCTGACTCGTTGGCTGCTGGTGTCGCTGACTCTCGGTGTTCTGACTCGTTGACTGCTGGTGTCGCTGCCTCTCGGTGATCTGACTCGCTGACTGCTCGGCGTTGTGACCTCTAGCCGACTAACACACCCGCATTGTCTCAGGGCTCCTCAAATGGTGCAATGGACCCTCTGACTGATATTGCAGGTCACGACCCTACGGGTCGCGATTCTTAATGTGACATACTGCCACTTTTTGGGGCCTTTATACCCTTCAGCCAAGTCTTTTAACGTCAGTTCCGGTGGGCCGCCCGGGCCCCTCCTCGAGCCTCATCGAACACTTCCCTTGGTGGGCTCGGGGTCCTCTGGCGAACACTGGACACCCTGTTAGGCACTGTGGGTCCTGTACAAGGACCCCGACCAGTGTAAATCGCTGGCTCCGGCTTTGTGGCTGATTGAGAAGTGGGCTCTCAGGTCCATACCGACACGGAGCTGACTGTGTGGCACTGGTGGTGGTGTGCGGCACTGACGGACATTTGGGCCCATATTGGCTCCGACTGATTCCGAGTCCGGGTCCGGATTGACTCCGGGTCTCCGATCTCCGCAAGAAGTGCTCGGACGGTGATTTGATCGCTCTTGCACGCAGGCTGAGGCCTCTAAATAAGACTTCCACCAGCCCCTTGTGCCCTTAAGCCATCCAATATTGCCCTTGGTCGTGGGCCCTTCAAGCTCTTTGGGCCTCCCCGAACACTGCCACTGGTAGAATCGGGACCCCTTGCCGACATAGGGCACTTGTTAGGTGCTGTGGGGTCCTTACAAATGCTGGGGCCCAGGCTGATATAGCCCCTAGCTCCTGCTTTATTCCTGCTTGGGTGCTGGGCCCTCAGACCGATACCGATATGGAGCCGACTGTGTGTTATTGATGTCTGATAGGCATATAGGCCCTTCCCGACTCAGTGGGCCCCTGATCAGCGCGCAGGGGCCTCTGGCTGGCATTTGAGTGACCGGCCCCGTGGGCCGGATCTCTGAATACGACCTCCAGCCGGCCTGCCGGGCCCTTAATCGTATGACCCAAGAGGCCCTTCGACCACCGCGGAACCTAGGGGGGAGGGGGGGGGGGTGGTATACGTGCCCCCAGTGCCGCTTCTCTTACTACCTGCGGCGCGGCGTTAAAGCCAATATTTTATCTTTCCCAGAATGGTGACCTTGTATCAGGTCAAACGCAACCACTCAGTTACAGAAAAAAAACACCAAAAACGTCCGAACCGACCAAAATTCGCTGCAGGCAATCCCATCCTCTGAAGATCGAGCCTATGAGACCGATGGGCACAAAACGTTTACCAATCGATGCGCCATGGCTGATAAAACATCCCGAAAATGTTTTTCACGCGTCGTGTTGTGGTACTCACGTACCCGTTCCGCGGTTTGCATAGTGAGGGCGGTCGGAAGTCCGTCCTTTGTGTATGGCGCCGTCCTTTGCAAAGGCGACGTCCGTTGTGCATGACGCGAGACTCGGCTGCACGCGGCACCAAGGTTCAGCTGGTTCGGAGACTTCTCGCTAGGTGGCGGGGTTGGCTTGCGGCCGTGCTGGTTTCGGGAGGCCCAGGCCGACTGCCCAGCGATGAGAAAATACCGATTCAGGTGTTTGAAGTGCTGATTATTTTTTTAATTAGTGAAACTTGATATTTGCAACAATTTTCGTGACGTTTCCATTTGCTAGGCATCTTAAAAAGATGTCGGCTCCCATCCCATTCATGCACTGAGGCTTACGTGAGGTGGTTCCCGGACGGTAAAGTGGAGGTTACGGAGCTGGCGTAGGCACGAGGAGCTGTCGCGTTATAGGGAGGGGGCGCTCGAGCCTTCTTTCCCCCAAACATTAAGGAAAATTGGCACTAAGCTTATGGGAGTGAATGGAAATGGAAACGAACCCAAGTGTATCTGATCCCCCAACCCCAACTTCAACCCTGAAAAACTTCCCTCGTTGCCGTGAGCTTGACGTTTTTGGGTTGCCATGGAGAGGGGCAGAAGAGCCTGAGATTCGGTCCGCACGACATACGATGGAGAGAACTGAACCTCACCGGGCGGACCATACCGCCGCTGGAGCGGAGAATGAGTTTTGCCAGAGCAACAAAACACCACGGTACGAGACCGCAATGGATTGGATGCACGTGGGAAAAAAAGAACCAGAGCTGCTCTTTGGGGAGCTGCAGAAAATGGACAGGACCAGACCTGACCGACCTTTGCCAGACCAGCAGAACAAACTTTGGAAGGCGGTAGGAGTCCGAGCCCTCGAACCGGACCACACCGGATAAGGCCTGGACTGGGCCAGACTGGACTGAGCTCGAATGCACCGCAATGCGTGGCATAGAGGTCCCGAAGGGACTGGCAGGTGTCAGAAATGAACCGCTCGGGCTAAACTCTGGCGACCGCACGAGCGGTGTGGACTGGCCACAGCCTGACCGAATTGGAGTGGACAAAAGCTAAAAAAGGCTACACCGAGCGTACACAAACCGAAGCAAAGTGAAAGACGCCAGGTGGGACCGGACAGATGACTGAGAAGGACCGCAGAAGTCGGAAAACCCGGGACAGATGACTGAGAAGGACCGCAGAAGTCGGAAAACCCGGGACAGATGACTGAGAAGGACCGCAGAAGTCGGAAACCCCGGGACCGGAATGAATCAGAGGCCGCTTTGATGGCACTCAACTGGACCGAATCGGAGTGAGCCTCAACGATCCGCGGACGGCCAGAGGCCTTCAGGAGGGACCAGAGGGTGCTAGAAAGGACCGAAAAGATCAGAGTACAGAAGAGCTCGGGACTGGGCAGCACCTGACGGGGCCAAACCGGAAAGGACTTACCAGAGCGCGTCGGGGGCCGGGCCTGAGCGGAGATCTTAACCCAAGCAGGGCAGAGTGGGATTAATTATGAATGAACGCGGGGCTTCAAGAACATCGAATACAATCAAAATGGTACCAAGGGGATCTGGCCAGCCCCGAAGCAATCTGAATTGTCCCAAAGTGACCTGATTACAGGGACTGGCGTGACATCAAGCACGCCAATGTGCCGCTGCGCTCCTACCGAGCTGCAAGGTTCATCAAAAAGATTGTCAGACATGATATAACGATAGGAAATTGTTCATCGCCGGCGTTAATCTATAAAATGGTAGGACAGCAAATCGTTAGTGCACTTGCCGTGCAAAGGTGTACATTTGTTCAAAAACGTTGGATACTTAAGTTCACGTGACGTAGTAAAAGTGACATGCGTGTAATACGTATTGTTTAAGTGATGTTATCGCTTAAAATGCAAGCAAATAAGCGGAGCGCTTGCCCACATTTGTTTATCGTTACTGTTTCATAAGGTCGTTTAAGACGGCAGTGTGGTATGTCTCATTTCACTAACATTAGAGCTCTGAAGCTGGCCTCTCGATTCGCTTTTAACAGGGGTTTTCTAGTCAGGAATGGGGCACACACACACACACACACACAAACACACACACACACACACACACACACACACACACACACACACACACACACACACACACACACACACACACACACATATATAGTATATATATATATATATATATATATATATATATATATATATATATATATATAATGGGTACATAGTGCGGGCTGTGATACAATCGCCATGGCCCATAAATATTTGCATACGTTAACGGCAATCCCTTTCACGTGTAGCCTGTGACGTCAGCAACCGGTGGTTTCACGCCACGTGACCGGTCGCTGTGCGGTCGACCAGAAAGCAGGCGCTAGCATAAGTGTGGGAACGTTTCAAAAAGTTGAGGTGGGGGGCAGGCTCAGAGTATATTTCAGGAACTTTCACTGAGAAGCAGACCCGGTGACTGGGGTGGGGTATGCACATAACGCATTTTGGAACTAATAAAATGTCATGGCTGCTACCTAGATATGCATCTGCCGCTCTTTTACACTAGTGCACAGTCTTGACCATTCGACTCATCTATGCCATTTGGCACATAAGACCATCCAGCTTTTTGAGATTATTCGTAAATTTCAACATTGTTTTCCCCAAGAAGCGAAATTCCGCGAGCGTGCAGGCGTTTGGGTCTTTGGGGAGACATCTGCCCTCTCAGGGTGACGCCAAAATATGATTTGGACACAGGCTGGCTAGAATTTTGAATGCCAATTGGTGGCCCATAGTGCGCCAGAGTTTTTATGCTCCTAGATTTTGCCGGCTGCTTTTCAGAGATAAGATTTGTCGCGACATTGTTGGCGAGAGACAAATTCGAAAGCTTAAAATATGAACTGCCAAAAACAATGTGATAAAGCCATAAAGCTGAATTTTCTCCCGTAAAAACCAGGTCACAGAATGATCCTTCTTTCGATCTTCCCTGTCGGAGCCCCACTTCCGTCCGCCGTCGGCGGCCACTGCCCTGGCCCGGCTGTTCCCCGCATGGCTGACTGCGATCTGCTTATATGACTGCTTTACTGCATGTTTATAAATCAGCACTCCTTATTGGTGTGAAGCATGCACTGGATACCTACAACAGCACAATTTACGAATTATCTTCCTTTATGTCACACCACAGCAGAAAATGAGCTCTCGAGGAGCTGCCTGCCTCAGGCATGAATTGATCCACCAGACATTCATTTGTCCCTCATTCAACGTAGCCGACGACATCTGCTTTTATAGGTAGGCAGGGGCGTAGCGGAGCATTCCCAAGGGAAGGAGCACCGGATTAACCAAAAACCTCCCTCCTGGTAGTGCTTCTCCGCCTAAAAAAATCACTGGATATAGCTCACGCTCAACAAGGGACACAGTTGTCTTCCTTTTATTGTTATTTTACTTTGTAACCGGAACAGAGACAGAAACCAGAAGCTACCGCGAGATCCATTCTGTTTGTGTTTTTAAGTCGATAGGCTGCAGAAATGGGGCGTTGAAGGTGCTTCATTACGCGATGTTTCATAGGATTTTTTCTAAACCGTAGAACTCAGAAGGTTTGCCAGATATTTTTGTGTTCTTGAGGGATATTGGGGACCCTCTGGACGTAAACTGTGGATAGAAATGGGGTCCAGAATATATATTGACATGGCTAACCCATGTTCTGCTTAAAATGCTTAACATTCAGTCGGGACTGAGAAACATTATGTAACATAACTTTGAACATGCAGGCTCGCGAATTTTAGCAACAGCGCAACGCTCGGCGTCACAGTCTCCTTAGGCCGCGCGGTGTTGGCCTCGTGGCAGATACTAAACGATGGTCAATGGGCAGACGATAAAGATGATGTATCTTGAGTTAGATGGCTGGTGAACTAGTTAAACCGACACACACGTTTAAGGTCGTACGAAAGGAAGTTAAACGTCACTTAAATCTGAAAAGTTGGGGGAGAGCCAGTTAACACTGCTGCTGCTTCCTCCCCCCCCCCCCACCCCACCTTCAAAAGTGGTGGCACGGTCCCCTGCACCTCGCCCCCCCCCCCCCTGTTGCTACACACCAATGGGCACTAGACAGCCTTCGCTCAACACGTAAAATGTAAGTACGAAACAGGACGGCACCAATTTAGCCTCATTGCTAACCGGGGACGAAGCCCAACGCTCAGAATAAGTGGATGTCTGCGGTCCCACACATGCCAGTTCCGAAGCATGGATAATGATACTGGTTACATTGCTGCAATCAGAGCAGAAAGTTTGTGCTCAGTTGGAGATCGATTGCAAACGCATGATCCTGTTTCAGCCGCTGTCTGCGCACGCGCAGTCGCCCAGGATCACAGCGGCTGGCTGCAGCCAGCGTTCCAGCACCGTGAGAATGGTGGCATTTAGGCCCACCCACCCGTTATTTGTAAATGGAAGAGGAATTTCGCCTGTTCTGTGCTCGTGTTGTATACATTAAATGCTGATAAGCTACACGATCTTTATTGACAGGCAAAAGGACAACACCGAGTCATGACAAAAGTTCGGTGCTTGTGATGCTTCGCCTGCGGAATTTAAGCACTCAACCGCTGGTCCGTTGTGTCAGCGGCCCAATTGTGAAGGCGGGTCGCAGACTCATCTGTGAGATGCAGCCTTGTTGGTTATTCCGGCCGCCGGCTTTCGTCGACACTAGTAAGGCAGGGGATCGCGCGTGGTAAACCCCTGGCGCGCCCGTGATGAGCCCCTTGCGCGTGCGTGATGAACCATTTGTGTGCGTGCGTGATGAATCCCTTGCGCGT